CCTTTTAAAGTCAACTGAATTTTAGAGTCAACTCCGACATATATATACGAACATGATGCCATTTTTCGTTTGGTCTCTTTTGGAACTGAGATTATAAAAAAAGTAACTGATTCATTTGTTGGTTATCTTGGAAAGATTGGACCACAAATATGTAATCATGTAATTCAATATAGAAATCAAGAGCAGACAAATGTTCTTGGAAATGCTAGTGATCAAATTTGTGCGTTCGCTAGTGATATGCTATTTCCTACCTATTCTATATTTGGTCGTCATCATTTTATTCGTAAAGATGAAAATAGTGAATTTAAAATTGATAGTATTGGTGAAAAAGAAAAAGAAAAAGAACGATTATTAAAAGATTTGAGTGCAGGACATCGTTGGTACAATTATTTTATTGAAGAAAAATTGATTCCTAATCAATTAAATTTTATTTTTCGTGAATTTATGGAACATGGATGTTATCCGTTCAGTATTAATCAACTGTTTAATGAAGAAGCTACGCTACGTTTAAGTATAAACACATCAGAAAAACAGCAATTACTTCGAATACAAGAAGATCGAAATCATCGAAAGAAGTCTAATTGGACTTCTGATTCGATTCCTCATTTGAGTGCTATTATGAATGATAATGTTGTAAGTAGTTTATCTCGTATTCACTTTCAAGGATTTTTGGTAGATTTTATCATATCTGTCGAATTACCGATTGAATTGATAAAACCTGGACAGACAAATATAAAAAAACCAATCTTATCTCAAGATAAACCAGATGAGTGTTCGATTTCATGTTTCAATTCAGAGTTGTCTATGAATTTTCTTAAAACAAAATGTTGGTTTGAAGTTAAGGTTAAAACTTATTTCGGTCAATTTAATGTACAAGTAGTAATTATTGCTAATTTCGATGCAACAATACCCTCAGTTTATCAACTTGATCCAATATCAACTATATTTCGAGCTTTTGTTGAATTCATATTGGATGCAAATTCTTTTGAACAGATTGATTCATCATTGACTCATTGCTTTTCTTCATTTCTCAGCACACTTGAGAGAATCGATTCAAACAAATTCGATACATTACTAGCTCGATATTTTGCTGAAATGCAATCTCGTAATTTATCTACTGAAACTTACAAAGAAATACAAAATTTACCTTTACCGAAAAGAAGCGATAAATTGGAAACGTACTTTAAACCAAGGTTGGCTTCATTAAAACAAATAACTGAAGAAAATAAAAATTCTGAAAAAGGAGAACATGCTTTGTATATATATAATGCTCTAAAGTACGAAATTGATGGTCAAAATAAACAATCATCAATCAATAACAACAATTCGACTGTAGAGTATAAGTTAGTACCTTTATATTTAAAATTTAGTCAGCTTCAGAACTATTTGAATATCTTACATAAAGATCCTGGAATTGATAGTGTTAGAGAAAATCTTAAAGTTTTAATGGCATCCATTTTCTATGTTATGATTAAACTAAGACGATTAGAATCTATCGAACTTATTCCAGTCATTGAAAAACTAAATGTAGATTTGCTAGAATGCTGCATATTATTAAGAATTGCAGATATTCTAGATGTGAAAGATTGGGCAGTAGGAGTTGTTATGGGTCTTTGTGCCATGAAGACTACCGTACATTGTGTTGTACCTGATTACAGAATATGTATACAATCATTATTAAAAGTTGCTGTTGCACTATTAAAATCAACCGGTGAAGACATCGACAAAGATACAAGTGAATGGAATATATTAAATCGAATAGCCGAATGTCAATGGTCACGAATAGACATGTGCGGGACCAACTTTTTTTGGTCCCGGTCCCGGTCGCGGTCCCGGTGAAATTAAATTTTTGGTCCCGGTCCGGTCCCGGTCCCGGTAAATTTTTTTTGGTCCCGGTTTGGGTCCCGGTGAAAATTTTCATTTGGTCCCGGTCCCGGTCCCGGTGGAAAATTTCCTTTGGTCCCGGTGGAAATTTTCCTTTTGCTGCTGATTCCGGTGAAATTCTGTTTTTTAGTCCTGGGCTCAGTTAACACATTCGCTACGATGTGGCCTAACAGTGAGCCACGCTACATTTTAACGAGAAACTGTATAGAAAAGTACTTTATTTTTCTTTGTTCTTAGACAGGAGGTTGAACATAAAGCTTTATCTGTTCTGCCTTCAGAACTCTTTTTGTGTCCGTTATTCCATAGCATGATGGGTCTTGTTAAAAAAATCAAGACAAAAAAAATTGTTACTCACAACAGAACGTTTTTACTTTCTTTGCTACCGCATAGCTCGCTTCTCTTGACTGTTGTGCCCTTCCTTTCGCAAAGCAGCCAGTACAGCGTCTGCGGACATTGCCCTTAAATCCTTCCTTTTCTTCGAGCTTGCGATTAGTGAATTCGCGCTTGAATTGGGTTGCTGATTCAACTTCTCGAATGGCATGTCATGCTGAAATGACCTCACAGGGGTTTCGCCAAACTACAGAATGGTTACTTCGCTACATGTGATATTACAAATGGAAAAGAGAAAACGACAGATCAGCATAGGATGAAAAGTCCAAGCAGTGCATTTATCGCAAGATGAATGCAGACGAAAATGAATCTCTAGAGCTACTCTTTAATAAAACCGAATCGCGTCGAATGTGTTAAATTTGGTTTTTGTTCTACACCCAGTCTAAGTAACCTTACTTTTTCTGTTATTTGTCCATAGTCAGAGAAGTTGTTGCGGAATCTGCCGGTTTTAGATCTGGAGCAGTTCTCACTTGTATTTCCGCCGATGTTTCTTATCAACGGCAAACATGACCGGGACTAAATTGTTTTTCGATCCTGGTCCCGGTCCCAGCAAAATTCTATTTTTTGGTCCCGGTCCCGGTCCCGGTAAAATTCTATTTTTTGGTCCCGGTCCCGGTGGCCGGGACCGGGACCGGGACCGGGACCGGGACCGGGACTGGTCCCGCACATGTCTAGTCACGAACATTAATACAAGCAAAATTGTCTCCACAATTGGACAGCGTTTGGGATAAAGTCATTGAAAAACAACCATTAAAACGTATTCCTCGTGAAAATCGATGTCATATCATCGATGTTATTGAAATTTGTTGTCAATTGTGTAACATGAGAGAAATATTAGCTCAAAAACCACCAAAAGTTGTCATAACAGGTCTATCACAAACAGGAAAATCAACATTATTTCAATATCTTACAGGACGAGAATTAAGAGAAATTCGCGATATTAGTAATTTCAATACTCGAATATCAGTTCAATCTCAAGCTTTTATTAAACTAAACGATAAAACAAATGATAACACTATTAGTGATGATTCAGTACTACCAATTGATCTTGTTGATAGTCCTGGATATGATGATGCAACTGAACAAGCTGACAATTTATTAGGTATGTCTTTCAATGGGGCTAATCTATGTATCGTAGTTACAACATTAACAAATATTAATCAAATACATACAATATCATTATTAAATAAAATTTTAAATTCTACAAAAGTCAAAATATTAGTTTTAATTAATCAAGTTGATATTCGATTAATGAAAAAATGGGAAGAAGTTAAAAGGCAATCATCTTACAAAAAGAAAGATAGTGATGAAGATTCAGATATCGATGAAACAAACCAAGAATTCAATCGATGTCAGATATTAGATCAAATGATAGAACGTCCTCGAAAAGAATTAATTCAAGGATTAACGATTGCTGCAGAAGTAATCAAAACTCGTGTAACATTTCAAACAGTTATTTTAAAAGGTTTTAATGACTTTGACAAGAAACTTATTAAATATAATAATCAATATAAATATGATGGCTTTCGTGATAAAGTACACAAATCAAATGTTCAAAAATGGATTAAACAGAATCTAATTAACTTGATAAGTTCTCATCAATCTTCATAAATTATTATAAGTTGACTGCAAATCAATTTAGTTTTAAGCGTTATTTTTAACTCTTGCTTTTTAGTGGGTTAATATTGATGTAATCTATTTTTAATTTTTCCTTTCTAATAATTACTATATACATACAAATCTAAAGAAAGTTTATCAAAACTCACCATTAGCATAATGAATTCTAATATCCATTAGCTATTATTATTTCAGATACTCATCTAGAGTGTGGATGTGAATGTGGATGTAATTTCTTTTTCAACAATTACGCACACCCACACCCACACCCTAACTTTTATTATCTATATTCCTGCCGGTTATTAGAATCCCATTTACTATTAGTCAAGGGGCAAAAAGCTAAATTTTTGATTTACAAGATTGACTGATTGACAATGATAATTCATGGCTGAACAACAGGAAAATATAGTACATAGGGTGATCAAAAATTTCTCGGAACATTCTTCTTTTTATTCAATAAATGATGCTAACAAAAAACTTATCACATCAAAAGTCCGAGGTATTCGCCCTGATTCGTTATTCAAAGTTTCATTCGAACAATCCATTTTTGGAAGGTTTTTTCAAAACTCATCTTTTGATATTTCACGAAGCACCCTGGCGATAGCTTGATGCAAAAACTTTGAATCAGAGTAACTAGTAAGTTGTCGTTTCAAATGGCCGAAAAGTCAAAAATCTGGCGGAGCCAGATCAGGAGAGTATAGTGGATGGCTTATTTCCATTACTCCTTCTTGAAGAAATATTTTCATGTCGTTCGTTTGATGGGGTCGTGCCTTACCATGATGCAGTTTGACACCACGGTAAACTGGCCTTTGGTCTTTTTTGCTTAATGTTGTTGAATAAAGATTTTCATCAATTATTTTTGCACCATATGACAGGTCTAGTTCTCAAGCAATAAATCGAGGGTGTGGGTGTGGGTATGGGTGTAGGTGTGGGTGTAGGTGTGGGTGTGGGTGTGGGTGGGTGTGGAGTGTGGGTGTGCGGTGTGGGTGTGGAGTGTGGGTGTGGCAAGGGGGGAAAAGCAAGTCTTCACCGTACTTCACTTGTACTCACTCGTACTTCCATGTACTTCATTTGTGTTTCTACTTATACTTCACTCATACTTCACTTTAGTTCACTCCATTTCACTTGTGCTTCACTTTTAATTCACTCGAATTTCACGGTACTTCAAGCACAATTTTGAAGTACGAGTGAAGTACGGCGAAGTACGCATGAAGTCCAGTGAAGTACGAGTGAAGTACGATGAAGTCCGTGAAGTACGTGAAGTACTGAAGTCTTGTATTTTCCCCTTGGGGTGTGGGTGTGTGGCAAGGGAGAAAGTGCAGATTTGGCACCTCAGCATCTGCTCAGCACCTCGGCGCCTTCTCAGTACCTCGGCACCTTCTCAGCACCTCTTCGAAACCTGTGGATGCTGAGGTTCTCATACATATTTGGCATTAGACTGGAAATTAAGGTAATAGCTATGAAGAAGACTGCGACTAGTGATGTGAATTTATTGTTATTGTTATTTATAACAGATTAATAACAAATCCTATTAAATGAAGGTACCCTTAGGTCCTCATCTCCTATTATATGGGGGCACCCGTAGGCTCTCATCTCGTATTATATGGAAGTACCCTTAGGTCCTCATCTCCTATTATATGTGGGTACCCTTGGTTCCTCATCTCCTACTATACGAAGGTACTCGCGGGTCCTCATTTTCTACTATATGAAGGTACATTTAGATCGTCATCTTCTATTATAGACAATTACCCTTGGTCTTTCAGAGCCACGGCTGTCGCGAGCGAGGGGGACGGGGGGATTCCTTCCCCAATCTTGAGAAATTTTCGTTTTTTCCCAGCAAAGTTGAAGAATTTTATTTGTTTTTTCGCTCACCGATTCTCAAAAAGTCGCTCGTCCCCTCCAATCCGGTGAGGTGTAGCAAAAATTTTTCGGTCGACTTTCCGAGTCGCCGACCCCCTCCCCCCGAATCTTGAGAACCTCACGACACACCTGTCCAGAGCTATTGCATGGAAAGA